ATTGTCGTTCAACCAATAAAAGGATCGTCTTCGTGATCATACATCAAAGTATGAAAATCGTATATCGGCTGTCTTTGATACGACTTCACAAACAGGAAACAATCAAGATCAACGATGGTGTACATTACTTTTATAAGAGAATGAATAGAAACAGAAAAAAAAGAATCTTGTTTTTCAAAGTTTTAAACGATAATAAAGAATGTACTATTTGTTCGATCTCTCAACTGAATTAGATCTTTATACTCTTCAATACTGCCAGATTTAATTTCTCTCTATTCTACTCAATATAATCTAATACGAGATCGATTATTGAGTCATCTCTCAATCTTCCATCTGGAACTTAAAATACGTTCATATTGTTGTTATATTTGAATGTAAGAACGAATTATATATCAATGTCTGTTTTAAAATGGGAAAGAAGTCGAACAGAAAATGTATTTGTTCGATTGGTACACCAGTAAGAACTGTGGTCGGCTTGTTCTTTCTAACATTATCGTTACTACGTTACGAAAGTGGAAAATTGTGGTATTGGTCGAACAATCATTCATTCGTTTTCGTAAAAGAATATTCGTTGTTGTTGATGAAACACTCTAATGATATCAAAGACGCAGACATCAATGAACATTCCGAAGTCTATCTTGAAGCGAAAAAGAAGATTTTCTCGTTACTGATATGTGTGCATACATGAAATCATTATTGAAAGGTTTTTATGTGAAAACATACGAAAAGAAAATCGCATAGAAATCTTAACATATGCAATCCGATACGATAGCGAGTACTTGTATATATTAAATATTCTCATTTTCTTCTTCGTGAATATCATTGATTTTGGATTGTAACGATATCAATATCAGTTTTAAAGGATTTAAAGTGCTAAATCAATTGCAATGTTCAACGTAAAAATCGATTTTTTGTCTTTATTTCTTTGTAAAATACATATGAATCTTGAAGAAAAAAAAGAATCAACTGTGCAGTTGTTTCTGCTATTCTAAATAGAAATCCATATTTTTACAAGAAAATGAGATTTATGTGGACGAAGCAACATGTGTAATAAATAAAAATGTGTTTATTAAGTAGCAGTATTTCTTTTTTCCATGCTTTCTATGCATTTGTCCATTTTATTGAAAGATTCTGTTACTTGAGTAAAGGAACCTTTGACTTGAATAAAGACTTCTTTTATTTTTTCTAAATATTCATTATTTTTTCTCTGGGGAGCTGAAGCAGCTTTCGTCTCCCCTCCTCTATCTTTCACTTTTTCTTTTATGAATAACGATTGACCTTTTAATGCATGGATGTTTCTTTGTTTCGAATAGTACCAATGAAAAACTAAGCGATAAGCGAAGGAATCGAACTAGATTTATTCTAACATGATTGTTTACTGAACGCAGCATCGAATTGCTGACTTCCGCGTTTGAAATCTAATCGACGCACGAATTGCAATGACTCTTGGGCACCCATTTCTCTGTCCATATCTCCATCTTCCCATTCAACTGATAATGGACCTTGATAGTCGATCTGATTCAATGTTCGAATAATCTTTTCGAAATCGATTTTTCCTCGTCCAAGAGAACGAAAATTAAAAAATCGTCGTGGATCACCGAAACTTGTGTGACCGCCAAATACACCTGCTTCACAGGGACAATTCCAGTCGAAATCGACATCTTTCATATGCACATGAAATATACGCGTTTTGAATCGACGTAAAAATTCGATATAGTTTACTCCTTGATAGCCTAAATGCGATGGGTCAAAGTTGAATCCGAACGCTGGATGATAATCAAGCGCAGCCAATGCGCGTTCGGCACTGACAATGTCGAACGCGATTTCACTTGGATGAACTTCGAGTGCAAATTGAACATCACATTTCTGATATTCATCTAAAATCGGTTTCCATCGTTTCGCAAAATCTTCATAACCTTCATTAATTTGTTCAGGATGAATCGGCGGAAAACCGTAGAGTAAATGCCAAATACTTGAACCAGTAAATCCATTCACGATTTTAATACCTAAGTTTCTCGCAGCACGAGCAGCAGCAATGACTTCTTCGGCGGCGCGTTGTTTAACGCCTTCGGGATTACCATCGCCCCATACATGAACTGGCAGAATGGGCCGATGACGGCGTTCGTCAATGTGGTCACATACAGCTTGACCAACTAAATGTGCCGACAGAGCAAATAGTTTGAGATTATTTTTAGCGAGTAAGGACAGGATTTCTTCACAATATGTTTGATCAGTTGATGCTCGGTGAATATCCAAATGTCCACCAAGTTCCAATCCGTCAAAACCCCATTCACGAGCTTTTGCCGCAAGGATTTCTAATGGAATGTCACCGAATTGAGCGGTGAATAAAGTAACTGGTCGCATCTACAACATGTTTGTTTATTATGCATTCGATTTGTAGTTTTAAATTAGAAAATTAATGAAATATGCCTTTGTAGATCCACTATAGAGTTAGTTGTATATCGAGATATTTTGGCGTCTAAGGAGTAAACGAAGATAAAAAGCAGGTATATCTCGAAGGAGGCTCTCATATTTCATTGATACAATGAAAAATAATGTGGCGACAATAGATATAAATGAATGTATGATTGGTTTTTCGCATAAATCAATGAAAACCATCTTGAAGCTGCGTTTAGGAAACCTTAGATTCACACGAAGGCCTTTAGAACTAGTGTGAATATGGATTTTGTGAAAATTGAATGAATAATCAATGAGTAGTTCAGTATAGCTGCAAATTTAATTGATTGAATTGGCTCATATAAAGAATATTAATATAGTTTCTCCATTACATTCTCCTGTATACACTAATGTTCCCATCCATTCAAGTTTTCTAATCTATAAATTTATGAATAAAACTAAATCGAGGTTTTTAGGGTTGCCATTTAAAAAAAGACAAATTTAATCTAATTGTGTTTACCTTCTTTTAAAAGTAGTATAACGCATCTTTCGTCGGTCAAAGTGCCTGCGGAATCTTTATTCGCTAATCAAACATATCTATTTGTTGTTTACATTATCAATTCTGTCCGTACCACATCGAAATATGAAGGCTATTCAGTTGTGCATGTACAAGAGTCTGTCACATATCAGATAGCGATTAGGTGAGTACCTTTTGCTTTGAATTATAGCACCTAGTAAATGCATCTCTCTTGTATAAAACTATGTTTAGATGCATGATTCCCGCTCTATGCCATTCAGCAGTTGGATACCAATTAATAAATCCGACACGAAGTATTAGTTTATCGTCCACATGTCTTGATAGCTGTCCAACAGTTGAAAATATTACATGGAATGTTTATCGAGAGTCAAGTGAACCGTGCCCACAGGAATTCTTCTCATCAGGTCTGCCGTTTCAATATATTCGAAAGATCTCGTTGTTAGTGACAAATACGAATCATTTTACAATGGTCGACGACCTATTTCTTGAACATTCACGACTTTGGAAATTTGAAGTTGCTTACACGCTCCGTACAGGACGTGGTTTAAGTGCGCCGTATTTTCTTATAGATCAATGCCCATTCAATGGTTCATGTTCCATTACTCCCAATAACGGGACAATAACAACTTCGTTTACTCTTTCCTGTTCAAACTGGTTCGATGAAAATGAAATCAAAGATTATTCACTCTATAGTAAGATTATTTCCATTGTGTAGCAGTTCAAAGACCGACTTTCTTCTGCTAGTATGGACACCAGGAAGCTCCGAATCGGTCATGGTAGCATTTAGTGCTGCTTCAACTTTTCAAGTTCGATTATCCGTAGGAAATAATTCTGACGGTTTGATGAATCTTGTTGTATATATCCGAGATCAACTGGATTGCGTCACTAAGTACGATATGCTCCCTGTAAATGTGCTAAGTGATCAAAACGGCAATCGAAATACGATCGGACAAGTGATTCCAACATTATCACAAGAATTTAATCAAATGAATCATGAAAATGTACAGAATGTCATTCTAGGTGAGTATGACCAGAAATGAGTTCATGTCAAGAAAGACGCATCTATGATCGTTGTTTCACATTTAACAGATCATCATTCACCAGAAGTAAACCTATTGACATTTCTTTTCTTTATTCAAATCTTATGATATAGGTTTTCGTTCCATTCAATCAAACTGCAAACGTTATCCTTGGCTGAACTAATACATGCAACGAATCAACTCACACAATTAAGCTTGGTAACAGAAAAAAACGACGAAATCCTACCGTTTACTTGCATTATATTTTTTCAATAGATCATTCCTTCGACAAAGTGCTATGAGTTAACTAAAGCATTACATTCCATCTCGCCCAAACTATCTTACGAAGACATACAACTAGCAGTGACTTTAATCACTCAATGTGCTTCAGATGTACTGAATGTAAGCATTCGAAGCCAGACGCAATCTCTTCTCAAGAAGAATATCATTCCGGCTATCAATGGTCCACTACAGCAGCGAGTAATGTTGCTGCTCGATTTGGATCTGTCGCGTTCATTCGACTTGAATTCTATGCAAACTGCGAATGAAATTCAATTGCTAACCAAGCAAATACTTTCTTTATTATCATTATCGTTGAATATTCGTCTGCATTTTAACGAAACCTTTTTACTGAAGAAACTGTCGGTGTTCATGTCTCTAGAAAAATATTCGTCTTCACAGTATCGTCGAACATTAATTGAACCACTGTCACCAATCGGAAGTTCACAAGCGAATATGAATCTATCTCGGGCAGTGCCGATTTCATTAGTTGATCAAGATGGAATTTCTGATTCCATGCGATCCAACTATGACCTTACTGAAATTTATTCAATAAAATGGCACTGGAATGAATCAATCGATTGATTCAACGCAAATCAGAACTAATCAGCAATTGACAATATCTGTACATTTCGAATGCCAGTCTCGCTTACCTGTTTATCTATCATCTGGATCAATCTATTCGAGCCATCGATGGACAGTCAATGTTTTGTCCTAGAGGTAAATTCGACAAGCGTCTGTGCTTGATATTTGAAGTTTATCCTTTTAGATTTGATCGATGGACAGGTGTACATGACTAATATCGATAATCAGTGACTAGCCGATTAACACTCGATTATTTTTGGCGTGCGAGCATTAAATCAGCCAGAAGTCGAAGATGTCTGCTTGAATAACTTCACTAAAATGATACCAATTGAAAACAAGCACGCAAGATTTACGTCACATTATCAGCTGAGAATGTTTTCCTCAGGTTGCTACTATCTGGATGATAACAATAATCGGCGATCAGATGGATTATTAGTAAGTTTCTCCTGATCTCCAGTCTATTACATACACTCATCTATTTCTATCCTAGGTTGGACCGAAAACAACTTTGTGTCAAACACAATATTTTGTAATTGCTTAAAACAAAACTATTCGCTTTGCTTCGATATGAAAATATGGACCAACGACAGCATCTTCGAGATTCGTTTACAACCGAAAAGACTCATCGTCTCACTCTTACTGACCTTGAAACTATCCCGAAAGAAGACAATAACATTTTGAAAAGAAAAATGACTAAGAATTTGACTGCTTCAATGTTACCAGTTCGAGTTACAGTATAAAGCGTTGTAAGACCAGTAGCATCATCTTGAGCGTTCATACTTGTTAAATCTGCATCATACAGTTGTTGCCTCAATTCATTGATAAACTCAGATTCAGCAGCAAGTTGTCGTGAGAGGATATCTACCGGCTGATAATCGTTGAACCCATTGTTTTTGTTTATCATAAACATCACATTTGTCAAAATCAGATAGAATTTCATACGCTCGACAAATAAGTCAGAACTCAACAGCTGATATTTCCTCTTACTTATATTCATGAATTTCTGTTTGATAATTGTACGTAGTGTAACATAATCTATATCAGTACATATTCCCCCTCCCCCCAATTTCGTACGGTGTTCTTACTTATGAAGTCATTGTTGAAAATAGTTTGTCTTTGGTTGGTCACAGTTCCATTCATGTAGTAGTACTTATCTAAGTCGCTAAGTTTTATCCAACCTGCTGACAACTGAAGCACACATGACGCACATATAACGTGAATAATGAACCAATATATTTTCTATCCTTTCTTATTGACATGTATATTTTTATTCAAAGTGCGATGGTAAGGTGTTCATCATTCTATACTCATGCCCATAAACATCAAAAATCACTATTTTCTCCAATCCAGTCGATATAATTCGATATTCGTGTATAAATACTTGGTTTCATCGGAGTAGCACATTCTTCACCATACGAAACAATACCATCAACTGTATAACGATTATCACTAGATATGTTTCTTTGAATAAATAGACCACCACCACTATCTCCATGACAAACATCGCGTTCACCTTGAAGATCACCACAGCATAATTGCATTGTCCAATTTTTTACTATCGATGTTGCAACATTCGAACAATATTCATTCGGATAGATCGTGAGATTAACTTGCTGAAGAAAAATTGAACCTGAAAGATTACCATTGAACACTATTAATCGTCTATACACGATATATGTTCCGCTAACCTTGATTAGCACCTGGAATCGTATCACCAAAACCGACGGCAATGCCTGTCAGATTCACATCTAGATATGAATTCGCCAGACAAGCAAATTGGATTGTTCTTGATGGTCGAAGATCGTCAGCAAGCTTAAGTAGAGCAATATCATTATGTAAATTCTTCTCGTCGAATAATGGATGCTAAGAAAAAGCAAATAATGTGAACACAAATTGAACTACATTCAATTTGACTGACTCGTATCACTTGAACGACTTTGACATGCTGTTGGCGCGTTTGTTTTCGACGATCATAGACACCTACAGACACTTCTAATGACTAAATCGCATACTTTTCCATGTAAGTCTCCTATCAAAGTACCCACTCACACTTTCTATATTCGGATAGAATTCATTCCAGAGTATTGCATATTCAAAAGATTCATATTCGAACCTATGTGCAAATGAAACAACGAAACATCGAATGATTGCCTATGACTTACGTATCACCGGCCATTTTTAAACAATGACTCTAAATCATCATGCGATCGATTATTTCCGCAATAGCTTTCGAGCGAATCTTACTGCTGTGAGAATTGTTCTACGATTGATCAATGTTCCTCCACACATCCACGTTGGTGAAATCTTTACATAGTAGGAGAAAATGTATGCAACTATTGAAGTGTTCATTTACCACACGAAATTCGCCATTGATAAACACCAGTTTCTGATAATGCTGACGAATCAGTGCACTAAATGGCCAGTTGTTGACGGTTACATTCTCACCGCCAATAATCCGGGCATTGGGAAAGTCATATTTTACTCCACATTCTTTTAACGATCGAAATAAGAATGAGTTATAATTCGTTGTGAAGTGATTTCCACTTACCATCACAGACTGTGCGACCATTTCCAGTTGTATCTTCGCTGCAGATGCATTGTGCCTTGAATGGCCATCGATTGATGCATCGAGAAGCTTTTGGATGACACCTAGTCAGCCAGCATGGTTCTACGAAAAGAAAAAAACGAATAATTGGCTTTATGAAAATGATGGATAAACTGACTTATGCATGTTAATACGAGAAGGGTAATTCCTGTAATCAACATAACGAGAAAAACGACGATAATAACTATAATCAAACATTTCGACCTTCCACAGAGAATCAGATTAGTAAAGAACTGGTTGTAGTTGTGTCATCTTACTTTGAAACTTGTTTACAAAATATTGACAACATTTGCTACTATAAAAGCATCTATTTAGTTACATTGGTGGTACTGAATGCGTGAATGAAATTTATGTTGCTGAATGATGATCAATACCGCTGTAAAGTAGAGAAAAAGAAACAGCTGAGCACCATAATACGACCTCTTGGTCAAGGTTGTCGAATGAGAACAGAAGAAAAAGGAACGAGTACTAACGATAATTGTCTCGTCTTAGGACACTGTTCTCTCTTTCCTCTGTTCTTCTTTTCAAAATCGAAGAAAAAAGATGTTATAATAGGTAAAAGCTAAAAGGTGACCTTCGAATTCTCATAATTGCCGTTTTTCTTTTGTAATCGACTCAGTCAATTAATGATAGTTGCATGGCATTCTGGTCGACAGAAGTAATGGCACGTGTTGTTCACTGAATAGCATTCAGTGAATGCAAAATTTGATTCTACACAATTCGTATATTCGAGCTAACAATATTCAATCTATTGCGATAGGTGTCGCTGGTCACCTGGATAAGGTTATGAGCGAGCAACTGAATCGATCTTGACCTCTCCAATGAAGTTGCACTTTCTTTGTTAATGTTACTTCGCTGTGCACTGTTATTGTGACAGAGTTATTTTGAAATAATCTGGAAAGGATTTCATACAAAAAAAAGTATTCAAGCATTTTCTAGATATTTGCTGTGAACGATGGCCGAACAAACTGCTCGTAATGCACAATATGAATACAAAGCGGTAAGTAAAATACTTCGAAAAAAGATTCACCTGGAGAGAAAATTTTCACCATTTCAGAACTCCAATCTTGTCCTACAAGCCGATAAAAGTTTAATTGATCGACGTGGACGTAATGAAGCTACCGGTGAAGTTCTATCAATTGCAAGTCACTTGGTAGGTACTCGAATGGGTGATCGTGCTCAACGTACACGACCGGAACGTAGTAACAAGTACGTATAGAAACGCTCTTTCCATCGATCCTATTTCATGATTTGTCTTTAATAGGAAACAAAAGAAAGACGATGATCATTCGTCAAAATATGATGTGGCTCGATTTAAAGGTCAAACCTTGATTGCTGATGCTGCTGATGATACGTCGAGCATCTTATATCGACCCAAAACACAAGAAACCAAGCAGACATACGAAGTGTTGCTTGGTTTCATTCAAGAAGCAGTTGGTGATCAAGCACGAAGCATCCTTTGTGGTGCAGCCGATGAAGTGTTAATTATTTTAAAGAATGATAAACTACGTGATAAAGATCGTAAGAATGAAATCGAAACATTGTTAAGTACAAAGATTCCAGAACAACGCTTTGCGTTTCTCGTCAATCTTGGAAAGAAAATAACCGATTGGGCAACCGACGATAAGAGTGGAAAAGATGGTTAGTCGAAAAAGAATAAAACTATTGAACAGCTATGAACTGTTGTGCATGTTTTAGGTGATGAAATTGATGAAACTTACGGTGTCAATGTTGAATTCGATGAATCGGATAATGAAGATCAAGGTGGTGAAGATGAAGTTCGTGATGATGACGAAGATTTATCTGAAGGTGAAGAAGCAAAGACAGATTACACAATTCAAGAAACGAATTACAGCAAGACAGTATGTAACAATACAGAGAAATTGTTTTTACTATCTTTTGTTTATTGACAATTAGGGCGCAAGCGACAATTTTGCGCGTCCAAGCAAAAGTCTACAGCCACATTCCATCGATGCATTTTGGCTACAAAGAAATTTGAGTAAAGTCTACGCTGAAGCCACCGATGCGAAATTGAAAGCTCAAGAAGTCTTAGAAATTCTTAAAACAGCATCCAATGATCGCGAATTGGAAAATCAGCTCGTTATGCTACTTGGCTATGAACAATTTGATTTTATCAAAACATTGACCACACATCGATATATGAGTAAGATTTGCTTTTCGAAATAAATATTTAAATTTTCTGCATGTTTTGCATAGTTCTGTACTGTACATTACTTCTTTCCTCACAAAGTGCTTCGGAGAAGGTGAAAATCGAAGAAAAAATGCGCAATGATCCTGAGTTAGCTTGGATCTTAAAAGCGTTATCGGAAACCGATCGAAGTGACACAGCCCAAGTGAGTTCTTTTTGTTTCAATTTAACAAAAACAAATGTTTACCTATGTATAGGATGATCGGGATCGTCGTGCATCGACTAAAAAACGTCGCGGTGACGACGATGACGATGAAGACGCAATGGAAACGGAAACTGCCGAAGTAAACTAAAGATTTAAATGAAATTTCTCAACCAAGTCTACGTTTGTGTTCATTTAGACAAAAGCCAATCCACAACATGTTGTAAACTTAGAAGATTTAGCATTCACACAAGGTAGCCATTACATGGCCAATAAAAGTTGTCGACTACCTGATGGTTCATATCGTTTACAAAAGAAAGGATACGAAGAAGTTCATGTACCTGCTTTAAAACCACCCGAGCTCGATGCGGGAGAGGTAAGCATTCAAATCGAATAACTAGATTGGCATCTGAATAAATCTTTAGGTCCTCTATCCAATTTCCAATTTACCAAAATATGCACAACCTGCATTCGAAGGTTACCAAAAGTTGAATCGTATTCAAACCCGTATGGTTAAAGCAACATTAGAGTCCGATGAAAATATTTTGTTATGTGCTCCAACCGTAAGTGAAACTTTTCTGTTTCGAAAATGTTTCTTTTCATATTGTGTATCGTAGGGTGCGGGTAAAACCAATGTTGCTTTACTTTGCATTTTACGTGAAGTTGGCAAACATGTAATGTCAGATGGAACAATCAATGTTGATGAATTCAAAATGATTTACATTGCACCAATGAGATCACTTGTCCAAGAAGTAGTGGGCAATTTCACAAAAGTACGTTATTTCTTTGGTACAAATAGTTCTTGTACATTTTTGTTTTCTCTGCTATAGCGACTAAATCCATTTGGTTTGAAAGTAGCCGAGTTGACCGGTGATCATCAGCTATCCCGTGAACAAATCAATGAAACTCAATTAATCGTCTGCACTCCGGAAAAATGGGATATCATCACACGTAAAGGTGGTGAACGTTCATTTACTCAACTAGTCCGTTTAATTATTATCGATGAAGTACATCTTTTACATGATGATCGTGGTCCAGTTCTCGAAGCGATCATTACACGAACTATTCGCACTATTGAAACTACTCAAGATCCCGTCCGTTTTGTTGGTCTGAGCGCTACATTGCCAAATTATGAAGACGTTGCAACATTTTTGAACGTTAAACGCGAAGGTCTCTTTCATTTCGATAATAGCTTTCGACCGGTACCACTTCAACAGCAATATATTGGTATTACGGAAAAGAAAGCTATCAAACGATTTCAAATCATGAACGATTTAGTTTACGATAAGATCATGCAGCATGCCGGAAAAAATCAGGTGAGTCATTTTCGTGTTTATCGAATGTTTCTTATGAAATGAGTGCTGTTTTTGTTTGTCTAGGTTTTGGTTTTTGTACATTCGCGAAAGGAAACAGGAAAAACTGCACGAGCCATTCGAGATGCATGTCTAGAAAAAGATACGATTGGTGCATTTTTGAAAGAAGGTTCAGCCTCTCAAGAAATTCTTCGAACCGAAGCTGAACAAAGCAAAAATCTGGAATTAAAAGATCTTTTTCCCTATTCATTCGCTATTCACCATGCTGGTATGAATCGAACTGATCGTGCCTTAGTCGAAGATCTCTTTGCCGAACGACACATTCAAGTACTCGTATCAACAGCAACACTTGCCTGGGGTGTGAATCTTCCTGCACATACAGTCATCATCAAAGGTACACAAGTCTACAGTCCGGAAAAAGGCCGATGGACAGAATTGAGCGCCCTTGACGTAATGCAAATGCTTGGCCGTGCTGGTCGTCCGCAATACGATACTCTCGGTGAGGGTATTCTATTAACAAGCCACAATGAGCTACAGTATTACTTATCATTGATGAATCAACAGTTACCAATTGAAAGTCAAATGATTTCAAAATTAGTTGATCATCTCAATGCGGAAATCGTTCTCGGTACAGTTCAAAACATTCGTGAAGCAGCTGAATGGCTTAGTTATACATATCTGTACGTTCGAATGATAAAAGAACCTCAATTGTATGGCGTTTCCAATGAATCCTTACTGGTCGATAAATATCTTCTTCAACGACGTTTAGATTTAATTCATTCAGCTGCTATACAATTAGATAAGTCTCATCTTATTCGATATGATCGCAAAACTGGTAACTTTCAAATGACGGAACACGGTCGTATTGCTAGTCATTATTATTGTACACATGAAACAATTGCTATGTACAATCAACTATTGAAACCCACACTCAGTGAAATTGATCTATTTCGTATATTTTCTCTCTCGTCGGAATTCCGTCATATAACCGTACGGGAGGAAGAAAGAAGCGAATTACAAAAATTACTTGAACGCGTACCTATACCAATTAAAGAAAGCATTGATGAGCCAAGTGCCAAGATTAATGTTCTTCTCCAAGCTTACATTTCACAATTGAAACTCGATGGTTTTGCATTGATGGCAGATATGGTTTACATCACGCAAAGTGCTGGCCGATTGATGCGAGCTATTTTCGAAATGGTACTATTGAGAGGTTGGGCACAATTAGTCGACAAGACGCTGAGCTTATCGAAAATGATTGACAAACGAATGTGGCAAAGTATGTGTCCATTGCGACAATTCAAGAAGATCCCCGATGAAATCATTCGCAAGATCGAAAAGAAAAATATATCATGGGATCGATTCTATGACTTGGACGCGCCCGAAATAGGTGAATTAGTTCGCGCACCAAAAGTTGGTAAAACAATCTACAAATACATTCATCATATTCCCAAACTGGAATTGAACGTACATGTTCTGCCAATTACACGATCAACATTAGAAGTTCAATTGACAATCACACCGGACTTTCAATGGGACGATAAAATTCATGGCATGGCTGAGGTAGGAATTGACTTCGTGTTCAAACATGCTCAACACTTCTTCGTTTTTTTTTCTTAGCCCTT